ATGCCACAATTTAGGCCCTCTCCAATTGTGGTCGGCGCCCCTGTTGGCAGGGAGATGGGCTTCGGGAATCCCTGCACTAGGATCTCCGCGGGGGAGATGTCGGTCGTGTCTCATATAGTACTGGAGAAAGGCTCCGGGCAGGATAACGGTGTCTCCGCGGAGGAGAGCGAGATGAAGGATCTTGTTCTAGCATCCCGATACGCTCGTTCTGTTGGAACAATGTCAAGTTGGTCTAGTTGATGGCTGCGAAGAGGGTTGTCATCGTCGGATCCGCACCTGCTGGTGTGGGGACGGGCTGGAAGGCAGCTGGGCTCCTTGCTCGTGAGGCGATGTTGAAGGTCACGTCGTCAGATGAAGGAGAGGTTGTTTCCCATCCCTAATGTCACTGTCATGGTCGTTGACGGGCACACCATGACCGTCACCATTGGTAAGCGGGTTGAAGGCGGAGTCGTGGACAGCATCCTCGTGGCGTGGGCTAGCCATGATCGCAGAAGTTGATGAAAGCTTTGGTTTTATTGCTCAGAAGAACTAGGAAGCTTTAGTTTCCCATAGACGGCACCACTGATCTCATCTGATCAAAAGGAGTCACTAGCAGGCCACACGTCTAAGCTGTTTGACTGTTGGGGAGAATGGAGGGGGTGTACCTGAAATACACTCTGATGCCAAAGTAAGAGTCGGACAGAGTAATAACAAGTACAAAAAGAGAAGTAAGAATGAGATTACCTGACCCTCTAATGAAAGAGGGTATTTATAGTGTGCCCCCAGCGCGGGGCCAACGGTTACTTCGCGTTGGGCTGGGCTGTTAGGCTCAATGCTGGTAACTGTTAGGGCTGACGTCGTGTCAGGAAGACCAGCACATGGTCTTTGCTCTAGTGTAATTGTTTCGTGCTATCCGGGAGGTGGAGGACCGAATAATCAGGGCACAGGTAGTTACCTGATGACATGTCTCCGCGTAGGGGACACGTTGAGAACGTGGGAGAGGTCAGAGGAACTCCCGAGCTGGATAGGTTCTGCCCAACGGTTGGGCAGAAATGAGAGCGTGCCAGGAAGATTTGAGGTGTCTGCTCGACTGCCAAGAGGTTTGTGCCCGAAGGAAGAAAGGGTTCTGCCCGACGGGAGAAAGGGTTTGCACGACGGGGAGACGGTTTAGGTCTTATTGAACTTTCCAATTCGATGTGAATCTACTCGACTGTGGGTCAAGTGTCGGCCCAATAAAAAACAATACCTATTGTTTTCCATTATTTACTAACCCCTCTTTTTCCATTATTTTCAATAGAAATAATTTACTAACTACTCTTTTTCCATTATTTTCAATAGAAATAGTAAGTAATTTATAAAATTTATAAAATATAGAGCACTACACTAGTATCACTTATATACTTATTTGTGAATAACTTTATACCATTATCTTAAGAATAGTATATGTATATTTCACAATAAAAGATTATAGTATAAGTTGATTGATCATATTTACTGAAAAAATATTTTAATATTAGTTAAAAATTTTCAATTCAAAAATAAAAACTAATCTAGTTTAAATAGTTTATGCAATTATTTTTTTAAACCTTTTTTTTACATTCAATAAATATAAACTTGAACACTTATACACTATCAAATAAAAAAAAATCAATATTTGTTCCAAGTGGCTAAGAACTAGATTAAGAAAATAGTCCCATGTTACAGTGACTTTCAAAAATAGTAAACTATAAATAAAATATTATGACCTTAAAATATTAATGTCTTCTTCTCATTTTGAATTTCTGGGCAGGATTTCCTGCCATTATCCATTTGATCTTGTTCATATTTTTTTGGAAATTAAGAACACAAGTAAGGGATTCCTTCACCTTTTTTCTCCAAAATTTTCATGAAATAAAACATTTTGGAAAGAATGGTAAGGAAACAAATAGCACCCCCTTGCAATTGTGATCGTCATAACAAAAGGTTAAAAGTTATACTTTTGTGATCACAAATAATGCTTGTGTTCTTAATTTGATATTATTATTGTTGTTGTTTATTTATTAATTTGGTGCAAAATGGAAAACATAACAACAACGATAGCACCATCAAATGTTTCGGATAGTACATTGATTTGTTATACACCAACCATGACAATAACAAATGGTGTATGGCAAGGAGATAACCCTTTAGATTTTTCTATCCCTGTCTTCATTTTGCAATTAACTATAATTGTTCTTGCCACACGTTTATTTGTTTTCATCCTCAAACCCTTTCACCAACCTCGTGTCATTGCTGAAATCTTGGTAACTTCTCTCTCTAGTATGATTTTAATTCACACCTCAGTTGTGGTTTTATGCGGTTGCAGAGACAATGTTTGATTTCAAATATTATGTTATATGTTGGTAACAGGGTGGACTGTTTTTGGGGCCATCAGTTCTTGGTAAACATGAAAGATTTGCGAATGTTGTATTTCCTCCAAGAAGTGCAATGGTGTTAGAAACAATGGCGAATATCGGGTTGATATACTTTTTGTTCCTAATTGGATTAGAGATGGACATGACTATTGTACATCGGACGGGGAGAAAGGCGGTGTTGATTGCGGTTGCTGGCATGATATTGCCGTTTATTGTTGGTATTGGAATAGCCTTTGCTTTTAATGATAGAGAGGGAAGTGTTCATGCTGTTAGCTATGTTCTCTATCTCGGTATTGTTCTATCGGTTACCTCATTTCCCGTTCTCGCGCGAATGCTTGCCGAGCTCAAACTCATCAACACCGAGTTAGGAAAACTTGCCCTTTCAACTTCCCTCATCAATGATATGTGTGCTTGGGTTTTACTAGCTCTGGCTATTGCTTTATCAGAGCAAAACTCAACAACTTTGGCTTCGGTTTGGGTTATATTGTCGAATATTTGCTTTGTTTCTTTTTGTTTTCTCGTTGTTAGGCCAGCGGTGACTTGGATGATCAAGAAAACTCCCGAAGGAAAAACGTTTAGCGAGTTCCAAATATGTGTTGTACTTGTTGGTGTTATGGTTTCGGCTTTTATTACCGATGTTATTGGAACGCATTCGATTTTCGGAGCTTTTGTTTATGGATTAGTGATTCCAAATGGTCCACTCGGAGCTGCTATAATAGAAAAGCTTGAAGACTTTGTTTCGGGGCTTTTAATACCGATTTTTTACGCCATTAGTGGACTTAAGACTAACATTACCTTAATGCGTGGAGATCATTCTTGGGCATTTATATTCACAATCGTCCCTCTCGCTTGTTTTGGCAAGATCGCCGGGACTCTTGTTATTTCAAACCTTTTCGACATACCAACACGTGATGGCGTTGTTCTTGGTTTAATCATGAACACCAAAGGTCTTATTGAAATGATTGTGCTAAATATCGGACGGGAACAAAAGGTAAACCAACTCATTTTTAGTATCATGGTAATGAAGAAATTGATAAAATTACTGTAATTCACTGGCAGTGTAAAAAAAATTTCAGTTATTGTGATTTGTGATATTGTTGCAGGTTTTGGGTGATCAAATATTTTCGACTATGATTATTGTAACAATTATAATGACAGCAATAATTTCACCTATTGTGACACTAATTTATAAGCCACGAAAAAGGCTTATACCTTACAGAAAGAAAACAATGCAAAGTTCAAGAGTTGATGCAGAGTTAAGGGTTTTAGTGTGCACTCATGCTCCTAGAAATGTTCCAACAATCATCAATCTTCTTGAAGCAACACACCCAAACAAAAGGTCTCCAATATGTGCTTATGTGCTCCATTTAGTCGAACTCACCGGTCGAGCTTCGGCCATGCTTGCCGTCCACGCCACTAGACAGTCAGGAGGTCCAGCACTCAACAAAACACAAGCGCAAACGGAACACATCATCAGCGCATTTCGGAACTTTGAGGAACATGTTAGTTATGTCACGGTCCAACCTTTGACGGCGGTTTCCCCTTACTCTACCATGCACGAAGATATATGCAATGCGGCGGAGGAAAAAAGGGTAGCCACCATTATCATTCCTTTCCATAAACAACAAACAGTCGACGGAGACATGTTAGAAACAAATCCAGCATTGAGAATGGTGAACCATAACTTATTACAAACCGCTCCTTGTTCGGTCGGGATACTAGTCGATCGAGGCCTTAATGGATCCAATCGTTTAACTTCAAATCAAGCATCTCATCAGGTGGCCGTGTTATTCTTCGGTGGATCAGATGATAGAGAAGCATTATCCTATGGATGGAGAATGTCAAGGCATCCAAAAGTTAATGTCACCGTGATGCATTTCATTCAAAGAAAAGACGAAACTCAAACACTAAACTCCGACGATGATCAACTAGACGATCAACGAAGTTTAATTTCAAACAAACTAGACGAAGAGTGCATAAACGAGATGAAAATGATAGTTGCAAACGACAATTCAATGAGTTACATAGAGAAAGTCGTGAGTAATGGAGAAGAAACCGTTGCAGCGATAAGAGGAATGAACAATGTCAATGATCTCTTCATAGTAGGCCGAGGTCAAGGAAACTCATCATCAGCATTAACCGAAGGGTTAACGGATTGGACCGAATGTCCCGAGTTAGGAGCCATCGGAGATTTGTTAGCTTCTTCGGACTTCGAAACCACGGCTTCCGTGCTTGTTATGCATCAATATGTTGGACAAGGGCCAGATGGTGAGGACATTTTTGTAGGTGAAAGACCATGGCAATCAAGTGATGACTTTAATAACTTGAGACAACAACATAGGGGAAGATATACAACAGAGCCAATGGGGACTATTACTCAAACACCTCAATTTTTATAAACTAGTGTTTTTCAATAGTCTTAAAATCTCTTTTGTAACAACAGTAATAGAACATCATTATTTTCAATTTCAAACCTTAAATTATGATGATAGTTTGTGCTGAGAAATGCTTGACAGAATTAATGATAGTCTAACAATAATGATTTTCTTAATACCATAAAAATACTTTACAGAGAAAGTTCATACTAATTAAATCTAAATAAAAAAAACACTAATTTAAACATTTTGTTTAGAATGAATCTTTGCCTATGATCCACAACCAGCCAAGAGTACCACCAGAAAATATGCCACATAAAAGACAAATCACCAGCACATTTCCCAAAGCATTTTGCTCAGGAGCCTGCAACAAAAAAATAATAATTTTTAATGAAAAAATTTCTTTAAATAATTATAATTTATTAGATCAGTATTCAGTATTTGAGGACATCATTTATTTATATTTATTAATTAAATAGTTAATATTAACTTACCTTGTAACCTCTTGGTGCGAGTGTGAAAACGCAGACGGTTAAATAACCGTTTGTGAGTCCTAAGAATGAGGTGAGAAATATCATCCATCCTTGATCGCCGTATTTTGCAGTGAAATAAAATGCCGGAATCAACAAGAATCGAGAAAGGGTTGCTATTAGTAAACCTTTTCTTGATTCTAACTTCAACCATTGCACAAGTGGAATGTATCTTGCTATCAAATCCAATACATTATACATAACAATTAAAACAATTGGATACCATGTGCCTAATTGATGTTCTCCGGTATTTTCATACAAAAACCCGGGGAAGATCGATAGGGTTACGATGTATATGAGAAACAGATCAGCTGCATAATCAATGTTCGCGAGAAACAGTTGTTTGTTGGTAAGCCGATCTACTTGTTTGTCGTTGTGTTCGGCCTACAGAAGTTCCATAATTTATCAAATGACATAATCGAAAAAATTATTCTGCAAGATTAATGTTTGAGTATTATTTTGGTATAGATGTCTGTCTTACTTGATCATTAGTCTTTGTTTGAATGCCTGCAGCAGCTAAGTCGGCTGTAACAGTTTTCGATCCCTCTGAGGCGGCTTTTGCGCGATAGTATTTCACTATAGGTAATTTCGTGAAGTAGATTGCGTAGAGAAATATACATAGAAACTCGATGAATGTTGAGATCGCGAAGAATAGTACTGCAAAGAAAACAAGTACTAGTAAGAAAGTAACGTCATAACAGAATCAACTAAAAAGGCGAAGAGACGAGAAGAATGTAGAATAAAGAGTAACGTGACGTACTCGCTCCTTTGCGAAGTCCGTTGCTAGACTTCTCGAAAGCTAACTTGGTTAGAACTCTAAGTAATGAAATTAGAGCACCTGATGCTGCCAAACCAGCAAGGAAAGACTGCGTAATGTTAACAATATTACGCGTTATGAACAAATTTAACTGGACAAAACCGATACTATAAATTGAATTCGAACAAGCTATGTCAAAGATGAACCTGCACGAATTCGGGACACATAAAATAGAGATCTCCAACCATACCACCTTCGATAAAAGCATCAGCAACTCCAAAACAAGCTGATAGAAAACATATGACAGTATAAGGTCCAATTCCACCTTGGCCTGATGTCGCAAGATCCAACTGTCGTAACCGATTACAGAAATCGGTCATATGTACGTTAAAAATCAGATACTAGAGCAAGAAATTAAAACACGGAGTTCGCAAGTGGTTTACTTACAATGAGAATCAAGAAAGTGGCAACGAAGAAGAGTATGAATCCAACAATATTCCGGAGTCGAGTATTGATCTTGGACTCATAGTGTGTCATTACTATCAATGTTCCAATTGCAAATGGTTGATAAACCAATGTAAGTACTCTTGAAGGATGATATTTAGGGAACAATTGGTAATAGTAATCTCCTATGGTTAAGATACTGTTCCATGAAACTAAAGATCCAAGTCCAAGAAAGAAACAAACCGCCATTGCTCTGTTTTTTCCCTGTATTCATCCATTGAAATTGAAATATTTACATCAAATCACCATACAATATACTATTAATCACCAACACAGACACCAGACACATGTAATCAATATCTATGTTGTCTCACTGTCACACTAAAATGGACACCAGCGACATCAGTTGTGTAAGTGTCACAAGAACTGATACGGACACCAAACACATGTAAAATGTGTTGTGTGAGTATCACACTGACACGCTGACATAGACACCAGACACATGTAATGAATATAATATATTTGTTGAATCAGTAAATCGTCTTTGTTCAGAGGTGTCTGTGCTACAAAGTGAAACACTTACCCCGGGTTTTCTTGGCTCTCCATTGCCATTGCTAGTAATCGTATCGTCCATGAGCATTTTACTCCACTAACAAAAGATAAGGTTAGTTAAAACTTTAGAAACAAATAGGTCTAGGAGGATTTGGACAGACCCTATTTTCACCAAAAACCATCAATGACTTATGAATAAAGTGAGAAGAAACTAAGAATCATAGTATGGTAGCAAGCAAGCATATAGTAAAAGAGAAGCTTTCATATTAACCTTAAGATGAGAGTGAGAGGATGAAGACAAGTTTGGTCTATAGATCCAATCATTTGAGGTTGTTTCATTTGAAAATTTATGTTTATTTTATAGTATTGATAATGTCTGCAAAACCTCGTACCATGATTAAGAACAGATCTGGTTTCTGTATTAATCATCACCATCTGCATAACCTCGTAACAACGTTGTTGTTATCATCAACGTGACGTAGGGTTCTGTTCCATTGACATTGACGCCATAATCATTTTGCTTTATTATTATAATTAACTATTATTATATTTTATTAATTTTATTAATATTATTAATACTATTTTTATTAACATAAATAAATTAAAAAAATTAATTTACACAAACTTCATCTAATAATCTATTGTTTTTTATTTTTATTTTTTTCTCATGGTGCTATGCTATTTATCAAGACAAAAGAATGATGCATCACAGGAACAAACAGAACAGGTGAATCTGATAAATAAACTTATAGAGAGAAAAAAAAAGCAGAAACTATTTTTTGTGTGAAAAGTAGCAGTAATATTAAAGTGATAATAATAATAAAATCAAAATAAAATACTAACCAGCAATTCTTGTGTAATTGAGTAGATTTTGGACTCTGTGGCTGCTAAGTGTTCATGTTTTGTTGGAACTGAACAGATAACGAATAGTATAATGAGTTTATGACTTTTATAATTCAATTCCAAGATCCAATACTTATGTCAGTATTAGCTGTCATTGATTCTAATCTAATAATACTCCGTTTTAAACAAATCAATTCTTCTTTACCAAAAATAAGAAAAAATAAAATAAACAAATCAATTTTCCTTTTATATAATATTCTGTTACTATTAATTATTGAGATACTTTGTCTTTTAAAAGTCAAAAATGAATTCAAAAAGAGATTCTTTGGGATATGATTTTTTTCCTTATATATATATTTGGTTTGTTACACATGTTATATTTTATTGCGGAAAGTATTTCAAAGAAAGTGTTTTCAGACTGTGTTTTCTTTTGAATTCACAGTCAAGTTGGTTGCGCTCATTAAATGCTTTTACACCTTTTTTTTATATTTATGGTACAAAGCTTTCACACCTTTCTATAGTATCTTTGGATTTAATTTTGACAAGAATTTCTCATTTCTGAATTTATATGGTTTTTATTAGGGATGCTATCAATGGGAGGGGCCGTCTTGAGATATCATATACGTGACTAGGGGTAGGGGTGAAAAATAGGCGCGATAAATAGTAATTTTTGTCCCGTTTAAAATCCTTTTGCAAATATATATAAAAAAAAATTAAAAAAAACTGGAGCAGAACGGAACGGATATTATTAAGTGTAGGTTTAAAATTTTAGTCCATCCAAAATTAAAAGTGAAATAAGAGTGGGCAGGTTTGCATTTTAAAAATACTTAATTTATATTAATGTATGCAAAAGTCTACAAAAATAATGGAGCGGAGTGGAACGAACACATTAGAGAGTGTAAGACGGAAGAAAATTTTACCCCTGCATTTATTCTCATACCCCTACAAATTAAAAAATTGGATCAAAATATCTCTGTATAAATAGCAATAATTTCAAATTTTTCACTTTTTTCTCCTTTCATTTTAGATAGAGAGTGAAAAAATTTCATTTTCATTTGACTTTCGAAAAACCCAACATCCAGACTTTCGGTTCATTAACTTTTAACACTGGAGAACTAGAGAGTGAGTTATCCGGTTTGGTATTTGTGTTGTTTACACTTCGAATAACTTGGGATAAAGTTATCTAGTTCTTATTTATTCTTCATTGGATAACTTGCCATTATGTTATCCGGTTTGTAACATTTTCGGAGAACTTGGTTGGCAGTTTTCCAGTTTGTTGTATTTTGACTTTTTTTTAGTGGCTCAAATTAGAGGACGGGATTAAGACATTTATCGGCAATATGGTGAAGAACGGCAAACTCAATAGTTATCGAATCGAGAGAAAGATTAGATAGTTGCACCTTTGTCGCGTTCACTGCATCCACCATTTCTTGGAGGGTCGTCTGATACTTCTTTTTTGGTGAGCTATCAGGACCACGTTGCTCGCCATTTGTAGCTCAACGAAGTAAGTTAATCAATGGCATTTTATGTCAAATCAAATTTAATGTTAATTATTTATATATTATAACATTATTATGAATTATTTTCAGGAGAGAGTTCCGAAGAAAGAGTTGAAGATTGTTACACATGGCAGCAAATTGATCGGATGAGTTCCGCACAGTCTCCCACCAGTGATAGAGGGATGATTATATGCTTATGGTTTATCCTTTCTATAGAGAATCGGTTTATCGAGAATAAATTAGAATTTAGTATCTGCATTTGTGGAGAGATGACATCTAGAAATAACGTCTTTTTATATGTCATTTAGCGAGATGACCATTACTTTGGACGATGTTTCTTGTATGCTTCATTTAGCATGTAGGGGGAGTTATGCAACCCTACGGAAGGGTTCACTAATTCTGATGCTATTACTCAGGCTATTAATCTGCTGGGTATTTCGTTGGAGGAGATAGTTGAAGAGGTTCGTGGTTGCAGAGGTCCTTATAATAGTCTAGATTCGTTGAAGCAAATATTTACGCGTCAGCAAGCTACGAATATATTTGAATGTGCCGCTAGAGCCTATATGGTATTGCTGGTAAGATGCACCATTTTTGCTAATAAGACCTTTACTATGAATTACATATAAAATGAAGTCAATTGTCAATACAAAACAAAATATAAAAATCACATTATAATCATAATCTAACATATTTCGACACCATACTGTAAGGTGTTGCTAATGTTGTAATCGTCTAGCAAATCCTATCATCCAAGAAGTTGCATCTGATGTGCGATACTTCTTCCAATCTAATGTGACCGGTGGCAAGAGAAATCCTTCATTCATGTTTTGCTTGTTATGAAAATTAATAAGTAAGACATAAATGAAAGATAAGTAATAAACATAACAAACATGAATATTTACCTGAACTCAATGATCTTGGTTTATAAAACAAATGCAGTAAATGGACACACTAGGTGAATGTGAAGTCGTCATAGGAAAGAAAGTCAAACTAGGATAACCCAATGAGACAAGAATGACGTTATACCGATTTGCTATCATATAACTCATATCTAGTAATGTCATCCATTTATCTAGTGGCTAAGGACCTAAAGATTATATCATTAAGGATTCTCTCACTTTTGGTAAGTGACTTCCAAATAAATTCTCATAGAGATTGCTTTTGGAACCTCTAATTTTATTATCCAAATCACGACGAACCATTGACCAACCATCCTCACCATATCCATGCAATGATGCAATGACTATAAACCCACAATTTCCACCACTCTTAACATCAACAATGTCATCAATAAATGGTATGGCATGTTTTGAAAATTGTACAATGTACCTATTAGATGGTTTCTTCTTTGAGGTTTAAGATAACTGTGAACATGGCCTCTTTGAAGATTTTTTAAAACTACTATGTGCTTGATCAACATACTCATGATATGAAGGACCACGATAAACAACATATCCCATAGGTTTCTTCCAATTTTGTATTCACTCCTCCTTTGGTTTTTATTTTTTTAAACGGTGGATACATCTTTCTTGTAGTGGGGTAAGCAATTTCACACACCCTGCTTTTTAGTGCTCTCTTTTCTACAACATCTAATCACATAAACCGTTTCCATAATGTATCAATCGCATTGGCCATGTTCACCTCTGCTCCATCCTCTATATCTACCTCTTGTTCACCTTCCATGCTAAGTTTTCTCCAATGGATATGAATAGTGTCAATTGGTATTGGCTCACCACTCAATGTGTATCTCCCTAACTCACAAGCACAAGGTAACCCATATACTTTTCTATCAGTACATCTGCACATTTGGGTGTTTCTACCCACCATGTCAACCCTTACCCATTCTTCAGCAATGTGTCTCAAAACAGTTATAGATACCGATCCATGCAAATTCCCATAAAATGGACTAGTGTACGCATGCTCAACTTCATAAAAAATCTTCTGAAATGAAGCTCTAATATTTCCCAATTGCAACTCAATGTTGTCATTCATAGCCTCCCAACATTTGCACATATCACTGAAACTGTTCTCCAACATCTCATTTAGTTTCCAATACGCAGACTCAACCCTATAAAAAAAACCAGTATCATTAATATTAAGATAAACAAACTATGGCTAAAATCAAACACCTTACCTATTAGTCGTGGTTTTTCCCAAATGCAACACTTTATTGATCCAAGCTTCAACAAATCTATGCCTGTGAAGCGTCAACCATGTGTCTTTCACATAATCAAAAAATGGTCTAAAATCTACATGGGCGTGCTCAAGCTGTTGCAATTGTTGATGGTACTCCACTTCATCATTAGCCCTTACAAGCTCATACCATAACTTCTCTATCGGCTCTTGCATATCATTCACAACATACTCATTGCACTTTGCTTTCACATTTTTCTTAATGTGAAATCGAGAAAGCAAATTAATTATCCTTGGAAATGGTGTTTCAATTGCTTTAACCAAACCAAGATCTCTATTCGTTAAAATCACTTGTGGCTATAACCCTTTCTTTTGAACAACTATTTTAACTTATCCAATACCAAACAAAAATTCTCTGTTTGCTCAGATTTTATATAGGCAAATGCAACCGCAAATATTAACTCAGTTGATGTCATACCAATTGTTTCAAACAAAGGTTTCCTGTACTTATTTGTTTTATATGTGTTGTCCATAATCAACACATTGGGAAACATATTCAACAACTTTAGTGATTCTGGATGGGCCCAGATGATATCTCTCACAACTTCTAACT